CGAGATGTACGAACACGATGGAACTCTACCAGTATTCAAATCAACAGCATCATCAGATGTCAAGCGGCTATGTAAGTCTTTATCTTTACAGTTGGGGGAGACATACTGTTGAGCTGACTCAATGTGCTATATCATTCATCTGAAGTCTTGAGTGGCAGCGCCACAAAACATATGGGATTGAACGCGCACACTATTTGGATCAATCAAAAATCCACCTTGGTGATCCTGGCTCAACAATTGCCTTGTTTTTTTTTATTATGGGCTGGGATCACCAATGGTCAGCCAAAAACTCCCCCTCGGCAATACAATCCACCTAAACTATCTACTTTGGGGATTATGAGTCCCACGCTTGCCTCAGCTTCCCACTTAGCAGCCACTTAGCTGCCAAACTGTAAGGACTGGGAAAGTCCTTCACTGAATGAGCTGGGGAAGGTGCTGATGGGACGGGCTAGTGAGCCTAAGCGGTTTCTAAGACCAAACACGGGGGGGATTTGATTTCTGGCTCAGAGAGATGGGAGGACAGATCTCTCAGTACAACCTTGGATAGAAGAAGACAAGAAGAAAAGAAAATGAAAGAATGAATGAAACTCACCTGGCTCAGAGAGATGGGAGGACAGATCTCTGCGGAGCCAGGAAGGGGACTCAAAGATGAAGGCTAAAAAAGGGGGGTGTGACATCTTGGTGAAGGGTTTGTGAACCCAGCCAGAGGGGGGGTTTACAGTCTCCCCTCCTATAAAAAAATTGAAGAAAGAAAAAATAAAACAACCCCCAAAAAAAAAAAAAAAGGGAAGAAAAAAGAAAATTTTCATAAAAGAAGTGGGAGGAAAGAAAGAAAAAGAAAAAAAGAAAGGATAAGGAGGCGGAATTTTGAGTCAAGCGCGTCCCGGGTGACCGGCAATAGCATCCGCTAGATCAGCTTGTTCGGCCTTCGCAATCTCGTTCGCGAGGAGTTGACTGTCGAGATCCTCAAGCGCCGCTACGGCGGCCGGTTCTAGACTAGGGAAGCAGCCCTCATCGTCGAAGTAAGTGTCCCAACGATTATCTTCACGTATCGCTGCGTCAAGTGTTAGCGCGGAAACCTGAGCCTCAAGGGGTGTAGTATCCGTAACACCCGCGACGCTCGCAGCGCGAGTTGAGGGACGTCCTGCCAGAGGTTGCGTGGGCTTTCCTGGCGTAGCAGTCGGCCTACTCCAGGCGCGTGGGGCAACATAGTTGGCCGGTTTCTCTGGGGTTGCGAAACCCGATGGGATGTCGATACGGGATCGGTCGATTGGTCCAGGACAGGCGCCAGCCGCGTTGCCACAGTGCTTCTTACAGAAGTGGCACAAACCCAGCGAATCCAGATACGAGTGTACTCGCCAGACAAACTCGTCGCGGGCAAGGTTTGATGGTGCGCTCGGGGTTGATCTAGTCGGAGCAGGGGGGACGGCCGGTCGTTGTAGTGCCATGAAGGAAGTATTGGCCTGTTTCTCAAATGGGCCGTAACTGAACGGGATCACTTCGAGGAGTTGGCGCTCGTTGATCCGATCTTGAAGAGAATCTGGCAATCCGTAAACTACAAACTGGGTGAGTTGTAGGTCCCCAAGCTTCGAGGATTTGCCGGCATCGAAGTTGAACAGACTCTGTAGTGTACGTGCTCTCGTGCTATACTCAAGGAATGTTTCCGTTGGCGACATATCAAGCTGGCGAATCTGTCGTTGTAATCCGGAGCGCCAATTTGTGGGGAGTGCGAAGTCGAACAGTCGCGCTTTGAATTCTTCCCAGGACTTGGTGAGAAAGTCGGCCGCTTCGTTGGCATAGAAAGACTGTAGGTTAGTTTCGGCGATGAGGTTACCAAGTATCTTGATCTTGTCCGCTGCATTGGTCACGTCCTTCGTCTCGAAAAAAATCTGGACCCCATGGATCCAGCGAAGAAACGACTCGGTCTCTTGAAATGGCCCGCGATACGTTGGCCCATCCGAAGTGCGGAACTTCTGGAGGTCGATCTTGCCCGGAGTTGTCTGTGCCGGTCGAGCTTCGACCTCGTTCTTGATATTCATCGCCAGAAGTAGTTCCTCTAATCGGCTAATGCGGGCGGCGCTGGCTTGATGAGCAGAAATAAGGATCTGTCGGTCCGCGCGGCGATCCTCCAGAGCTTGTCGGCGATCCTCTGCAGCTTGTCGACGTTCGGCCTGTGTTTCGACGATGAACGCATGTTGAAGTTTGAAGACCGACTTGAACCAGTCTTTAGCGGTCTGCATATCTGCGGCGTCCGCCGTGCGAGTCGACCCGGATGTTTCATGAGCTGGGGCCGTATCGTCGGACATCGCGATGGCAGGTGTAGTTTCAGAAGGAGGTGGGTGCGGGATGGTTGGGTTGGACTTGAGATGTTTGAGTCGGCGTTGTTCGGCGTTACCAGATCGGATGATAGCCTCAGGGTCCGTTAGCGGGAGCAGCTCGTCAGGGTCGGTATTGCTCCTCGTAGTCATAAACCCGCAATCGCGTAGCCTCGAAAGGAAGTGGTCGAAAAGGTAAAAGAGGAGACGGAATAAGAAGCGGAGACAATCGCGGTTGAAAAGAAAAAGAAAGGGGGGAAGCAGGAGGGCCAGTAGAGTATGTCAAGGCAGGGGGGTCAGTCGAGTATGTTCAGTGAAGTTAATTCAGTCAAGTCAGTCGAGGCGAGTCCGGTATCAGTCAAGTGGAATTCGTCGAGGCGAGTCCGGTATCAGTCGAGTGGAATTCAGTCAAATCAGTCGAGTCGAGTCAAGTAGGTAGTCGGGGTAGGGTCAGTGTGAGTGGTTTGGTGTGAGAAAAAAAAAGTGTAAGGACTGGGAAAGTCCTTCACTGAATGAGCTGGGGAAGGTGCTGATGGGACGGGCTAGTGAGCCTAAGCGGTTTCTAAGACCAAACACGGGGGGGATTTGATTTCTGGCTCAGAGAGATGGGAGGACAGATCTCTCAGTACAACCTTGGATAGAAGAAGACAAGAAGAAAAGAAAATGAAAGAATGAATGAAACTCACCTGGCTCAGAGAGATGGGAGGACAGATCTCTGCGGAGCCAGGAAGGGGACTCAAAGATGAAGGCTAAAAAAGGGGGGTGTGACATCTTGGTGAAGGGTTTGTGAACCCAGCCAGAGGGGGGGTTTACACAAACCTCCTGCTTCAGTCCCAACACCCTAAAAACAAAATCGGCCCAGCAGCACCTTCAAGGCTGATAGGCTATTGATCTAGGTGGTGAGTCCCCCCTCCCTATTGAATTGTTTGCTACAACTCTAGGTGCTGTTGGGCTGACCATGCCTTGTCCGATAGCAGCCACTTAGCTGCCAAACCTCCTGCTTCAGTCCCAACACCCTAAAAACAAAATCGGCCCAGCAGCACCTTCAAGGCTGATAGGCTATTGATCTAGGTGGTGAGTCCCCCCTCCCTATTGAATTGTTTGCTACGACTCTAGGTGCTGTTGGGCTGACCATGCCTTGTCCGACAGGCCAACAGCACAACACCGACTCGATCAACCATAGCGATTGTCTTTAACCTCAAAGGTGAGTCCCCCTCCCCTTGCAAATGGCTACTTTGCCCACTTGGCATCCGAGTGGGTGCCAAGTGGGCACCTGAAACTGTCAGTGCTGTTGGGCTGACCCGTCCCTTTCAACAGCCTCGAAAAAATATCGCCGACCGTTTTTGACCCCGCCGATCCGATTTAAACAGAGGTGAGCCCCCTCCGGCTTTGATCGCACTCGCCCACTTGGCAGCCAACTGGCTGCCAAGTGGGCATGGTCCCTTGTTCTTGGCTGATGGGTGGGCTGACTGTCCCTTTCCACAGTTCCAAAAAACGATCGCCGACCGGTTTTGACCCCGCCGATCCAATTCAAACAGAGGTGAGCCCCCCCCGGCTTTGATCTCACTTGCCCACTTGGCAGCCAAGTGGGCATGTTCCCTTTTTCTTGGCTGATGGTTGGGCTGACTGTCCCTTTCCACAGCCCCAGAAATCGATCGCCGACGGTTATTGAACCCGCCGATCCAATTTAAAACGGAGGTGAGTCCCCCCCCGGCGTTGATCTCACTTGCCCACTTGGCAGCCAAGTGGGCATGGTCCCTTGTGATTGGCTGTTGGGTGGGCTGACTGTCCCTTTCCATAGCCCTAGAAATTGATCGCCAACGGTTATTGAACCCGCCGATCCAATTTAAAACGGAGGTGAGTCCCCCCCCGGCGTTGATCTCACTCGCCCACTTGGCAGCCAAGTGGCTGCCAAGTGGGCATGGTCCCTTGTGATTGGCTGTTGGGTGGGCTGACTGTCCCTTTCCACAGCCCCAGAAAACGAATGACGACGGTTATTGAACCCGCCGATCGAATTTAAAATGGAGGTGAGTCCACCCCCCCCCGGCGTTGCTCTCACTTGCCCACTTGGCAGCCAAGTGGGCATGGTCCCTTGTGATTGGCTGTTGGGTGGGCTGACTGTCCCTTCCACAGCCCCAGAAAACGATCGACGACGGTTATTGAACCCGCCAATCGAATTTAAAACGGAGGTGAGTCCCCCCCCCCCCCCCGGTGTTGCTCTCACTCGCCCACTTGGCAGCCAAGTGGGCATGGTCCCTTCTGATTGGCTATTGGGTGGGCTGACTGTCCCTTTCCACAGCCCCAGAAAAAAATTGCCAACGGTGTAGTGTGCCAAATGTGTTTCAAGTACCAAATTGCATAAAGTCATGATCCACTCTTGATAATAGACTATATTATTGACTTTAATATTACATATTTGAATTCTACATCAAATTTAACCTATAGT